TGATACGGAACACATCTTGACATTTCGTATGTAAACATTATGCCAATGAAAGTTCATCCGTTGCAAACATTATTGATTGCCTGTATTAATTTCCAATCATCATTTTCACAAAGTGCATTATTCATCTCGATTGATTTGTGTTGGTCCCTAAGGTTTATGTTGACTGGAGTTTTCTTATCCTATCAATACATGTGCTCATCTACGGTCGATTAATCTTGTATAGTGTTGGGTTGTGTCATTGAGATGACTGAGGGTGGATAAAATGTCAAGACATAGTTCAGGCGTTGTGTAGATCATGTTCTCACAGGGATAGCTCACATCATCAGCTAACACGTCCATACCTTCAAGATGCTGTCGCTGAAACAACAACGCGTGTGAAACGACGGCTGTGACAACTGCAGCATCAACATGCTTCGATGTTGCCGACGAATTCGATGTTGCCGAAAATGGTAAGAATACCTTTAAGAAGCTTGGAGGGAATAGGGATGGGGTAAATTATACGAATATGAATATGTTTATTTGCATGCCGTTTATTTTCATGCGTGCAGTTTGTAGAGATGTCTAATTTTCTTTTATTGTAATATAATTTAGAAAATACTAAGCGACACGATATTGCTAAATGATGTTCAACAATAGTTTCCGTTAAAAACGAGCCATTTTCAGTATATGGTATTGAGTGAATAAAGTAGAGACCAACTGTCAATGCTCTGCTGTTAGTCATGTCCGCGGTAGGGTGCTAAGAAACCTAGAATCGAAATTCAAATACAGATTCATCTTTCTGCATCACCATTATCTTACAGTACTTAATCTGCCACGAGCATTCAACGCGAGAGCGACCCAATATATACTGATCTTCAGTTCAGTTCTCGATGTTGTAAAAGGTCTCTCGGTAAGTTAAAGAGAAAGAATATACCGCTGGTTTAAATCTTCCTCACGTAATACGAATACTCATTAAATGCAGAAAGCCGGGGGATATCTATTTAAAGATTGCGAACGATCCTTATTAAACTTTATGCTATGTCTTTAGTATTTAGTGACGTTTGCAGCACATCAGCGCCAAGGGACGAAAGAGATGCCAGTTCTAGTTTCATAGGAATTAGTCAGAAACAAAAGACGTCCGTTTATACAAGTAGATACTATAGATGACAATGTTATTCAAAAGAGAGATACAGGGACATAAACAGTTAAATGCCCAGCCAACCGAGCTAATGTGATTCATTAACACCCGGCAAAACAAACTATAAAGGTGAATATCCATTGGATTTGGACAAAACATTACAAATGCTTGGAAGGAGTTCCTAGACTGAATAAAGTCTCCGAACTATATAAATCCCTAGTGCTATGTCTATGTCAAGGAATGGTAGATACGGTCAGCCACAAGACTTTCACGAGACTTTCACAATGTCTGTCACAAGAGTGACTGACTGACTGAGTTTGGTTTCACGCCGCTTTTAGCAATATTCAAGCAACATCACGGCGGGGGACACCAGAAATGGGCTTCACACATTGTACCCATGTGGGGATTCGAACCGGGTCTTCGGCGTGACGAGCCAACGCTTTAACCATTAAGCTACCCCACCGCCCCTCTGTCACAAGAACTTCAGGTGCCGATTTCCGGTATTGGCCATGCCTTTGTTATTAGTCGACTGTGTCACAATGAGAAGTTGTGTATTTAGGGAAATTATAAACTGTTTGATAGATACTCAATTTCAGCTGGCATGCAAAGAAAGTTATATTTTTTGGAAATACTTGAACCGATTACTTTGAAATAAACTTCATATAAGATAAATGTTACGGGAGTCAGTTATTATCGTGATCCGGGGAGTTTGTTCGAATCCCTGTTAGCACTAATCATGTTTCGAGGTTTGTCTACACCAAGTCTAGGCAAGTCATGACGATGGTGTTGCTGCTGCTGCTGATGTCTTGATGGTTAGGACTATTTCTTAATCGAATATTTGCAAGGGATGGATGGTATGGTCTGCTTGAATCGTATTTCCTGAAGCCGTTCCAATCCGCCTTCGACCAAGGAAAATACCGATGCTAACGGGCCTTAACATCCCATGCTACTTTACAAATGGCCGTGTGACGATTTTATGACCGTTCAGATCTTACGTGCTAAATTCCAGCTAATGTCATAATACAGTTATACTCGACACGTTCCACTCATATTGCTGCCGCTGTATGGGACGCAAATCGTATTGCCGACATTGTGTGTTGCACACAAACATCATCGATCGATTATCGAAGGGACACAACCGTTCAAGGTTTGAAAACTATGTTTTAATGTACTTGTTATTTCCGGTAATACAACCGTTTGGAAATTGAATTAATAAATATACTTTTCGTGATGATGGTTGAATTCTCCAAGTGTGTTGGATTTCAAGGTCGCACAATGTCAAAGTCGCCCATACTACCCGTTTGAAGAGGGTAAAAATGAGTGATATTCCTGTAGTGACACTTTTTGCACTGACCTGCGTTCGACAGGTCGATAGATTCGGTGGTACAGTTATGATGGTCATGTATATAAGTCGGTTCTGTGCTGTAGTAGTTTACTCTTGCTTAACAACGGTATAAGAACCTACACGAAACGCCGCATCATAATAAAATAAAGAAGTTGTTATCCATAAAGTATAATACTTTTCTTATTATTCATCAACTTCTAAAATGCCAATCAAACAGATAATTTCTTTATCTTGTCTACCAAAAGAAACGCACCAATTTTACACTTTTTCCAAGCGCCCAACGCCACAACTGACTGTGTCATTTTGTTTCTCCTTCAGAACAAGGGTGTAAATGTAAAAAAACAAATCATTTTTCGGATTATTGTGGTAGTGGCGGAATGGGAGGTATTTCGATTTTCTATCAAATATCATAATTATGCCCATTTTAAGAATTCCAATTGTCTCTTATAATCTAGTTTTTAATGTATTCATATAGTCTATAGCAATAGTTATGATGATGGCTCTTCAAACAACGCGCCTTACTTATTGACGCTACGGCTGACATGTTTTGCAGCAACAGCGGAAGGCAGATAAGCTGTTCAAGTCGTACAAGTTATCGAATGTCAGCTAACCTTGATGCAACAATAAACAATACACAGTACAAATCACACGATATGTGAATCGAAGCGTATGTATCTACAACAAAGGCAACAGGAATATCGAGGCTGAGTAAAGGCATGGTCGATGAACGGCCGGCTTGCAATATCCGGCTACAGTTCAACCCTACAAAACACCGCGCACGCTATATTATGTGTTGCACTGATTTGTGTCTATGTAACGGACGGCCAACGTTTACCACACATGGCGTGGTCATGTTTCGTTCCTTACGCAGTTTATTGACTTCAGTCTCTTTACAATCAGTGAACCCGTACAGGATATCAATATTATGTTTTCTTTAAAATTGTCTTTTGTATGTCTGTCTGACATTCCTTCACGAGAGAAGTCAGAAGTTAACTGCCGCTGTGGAAATATAGGACGGTAGTTGTAATTACTGTTTAGCTTAACGGGTGTCTGGGTGAGTGAGGTTTTACGCCGCGTGTAACAGCATTAAAACGATATTCTATCGTGGGACTCGAAAAATGTTTTTAGATTTACGAACACACGCACGCACGCACGCACGCACGCGCATTTAAGAAAACGATATAGCTGGTAATTGTAATCTTTGCCACGGTACCGGTATTTCACGGTCTCCGAGAATCTCAATCGTAGTAACGATATCGGAAGTTACGAAGTCGTGGCAGTGTAAGAACAATGTCCGTAGAAACGATGTCAATGTCAATGGCGTCCGTAGGAACGATATCAGTAGCAACGGTGCACGTAGTAACGATTCCTCCATTTTAGATGCTCGTAGGAACGATATCAGTAGCAACGGTGCACGTAGTAACGATTCCTCCATTTTAGATGTTCGTAGGAACGATATCAGTAGCAACGGTGCACGTAGTAACGATTCCTCCATTTTAGATGTTCGTAGGGACGACGTCCATAGTAATATTGTCTGTAGTAGTGATGTTCGTACAGACCATGTCGACTATCGGGATGTCCGAAGATTAGGACTTCCGCAGTTAACGATGTCCACAGTATCGTTGTTCATAGGAACCATTTGCATATTAACGATGTTGGTTGTAACAAGGGGTGGTGGGGTAGCCTAGTGGTTAAAACGTTTGCTCGTCACGCCGAAGACCCGGGTTTGACTCCCCATATGGGTTTAATCATTCTCTTCCCACAGAGGTTACTCCTGTCATATCTTCCTGCGTAACCTCTGTTCTAATACGGCCATATTTCCCGTTTCTCGTAAGATCCCCTAGCGGCAAAAGATCGCAACACGAATTATCTCCCTTCTTTCTATCCAATCAGAACACGTGTTACATCGACTTAGATTCAACTTGACTAACACAAGAAAATGTGAGGCCACAAATATCCCCCAACTGCCGGGGACTTGTGTTGATGTTACACACAAGACGTTTAATGGCTAGCTTGTCCGTTGTCAACGAGGGCGATGGAGACGCCACTGATCCGCCATAACATGACTGAGTTCTGTCTAGAAGAAACGTTTGCGCATCGCGCAGAGGAAATGGTTTAGTTTTTCGAAGTACACGGAAATTACCGAGGCCATGCGAATGGTCACTTTTGAAACAACGTCGCTGATTGCACAACTAAATCTGATTGTCTCCAATCACGAGTCTTGAACGCTCACACCACGAAAGGGCCGTATTAGAACAGAGGTTACGTAGGAAGATATGACAGGAGTAACCTCTGTGGGAAGATGTGAAGCCCATTTCTGGTGTTCCCCGCAATGATATTGCTGGAATATTGTTAAAAGCGGCTAAAACTAAACATACTCACTTAACAAGCAGTGAAACTACCTACGTCACAACATCCTGTTTAACGATGACCAAATGATGTCCATATATCTGAAACGATGTCACATTGAAATTGAACTTCGTAACGTAACTTTGTAGTTCTGACAAATTGGATATTTTAAATATATTTTATAATGAAATAACTTCCTTTCTGGGACTAATGTAAGTCTAGGTTCCTTCTTTCAAACAAACATATCGTATCTCTTGAAGCCCTGACCCCACGGCGGCAGGTTCAGAGATATAAAAGACACGTTGGTAATGACGACTGTGCAGTGTCTGCAACACAGCTACGATTATACTTAACATAATCTACCTACTCAAAAACTACATAAGCTTCCACAATGCCCAATATTCTTATATCAATCCTCACGTATTGTTCTTGAATTCTGTCATAACTTGAGAACAAATTGTGCCTTAACACAATCCAACACCTCCTTATAAGTCGTTAGTACGCAATTATGATCACCGCGTATCAACTCCATGTAATGTTATATCCCAGGTCAGTTTGATTGTGAAGCTGTAGTACAATAGATCTATAATCGGTAATCCTTCTAAAGCGGACATGGTTGAAGGACGTCAAACCAATGGCTTTATGCGACGTGATTCCAGCTCGCAAGACCTGTGACTATCGATTGTTTTAGGAGGGGGATCTCTGGAAGACCAAACATTGTTCGCCGGCTAGTGCATATGTTCCGAGACGCATTTCGATCCGACCACCCGAATTGACAAGGATATATGTGTAGCATCTTCCCCTTCGTCATCCCACTGACTCGTATTGGCGTTCATGCTGATGTCACAGCCGTTGTTTTTGTTGAACATGCGTTGTCATGAAAAGGAATGACGTCAGGAAAAGTGAACTCTTGGAGTTTGTGATCTATTGTCGATAACACATGACATACGTATAGTTGGCAGCGATTGCCGCGCGTCTGACAAAGACACAGAGACGTTTATGTAAGATTGTGCTACGAGGGATGTGGCAGCCACGTGTAGAGGCTGTGTTGTAGACATGTGACGAGGAACCGTCGTTAAGGGGCGACTGTGATGCCAGAGTTCATCTGGGGGTGTTCCGGCCGATCTGACTTATTCAGGTATGTTTGCAAGTCATGTCGTTGAGTGACGATTGTTGTGCATTGATTTATGTGTTGTTAACCGTGGTATTTCATTTGTCTCCAAATATGCTGGTGTTTTGTTGTTTGTGCATAATAATTCTATGTATTTTCATTCAAATATATTGTGTAACGATTGTGTGCCGTAGAAAAGATCGTAATATTCAAAGAATGCATCATTTTAACACTAATATTAGAATTAAGTGTTGTAGAAAGATACAGTTCTATTCTATATTAATGGGCTCACCGTTTTAACGATCCTTTTTAAGCAAAGACATGATCTATTTGTGTGAATATTCAGTATGATGGAGTTTAGGAAGGAAGTATTATTGTCATTGTTAGCGTGGATATGTGTAAGTTACAACAATTGATACAACCCCATGACAACAACTGCTGTCGACGGTAATGCTAGGATTGAATCCTGATCATGGATTGGTCTCCCTTGTTCCTATATAGAACCAGCTATTGTTTATACCAGAATTAGGTCATAGGCATATGGTATACTTGTGAATTCTTTGTCGTCGACTTGCTACCTAAATATATTTCTCATTCATTCATTCATTCATTCATTCATTCATTCATTCATTCATTCACATAATTGATTCATTCACAAACCAATAATTAATCATTCATTCATTTATTCGTTATTTCATTCCCACAACTAGCCATCCTTCTTTCCTTTTTTCATTCATCCAGTCAGTCATTCATTTATTCATTCATTTATTCATTCGTTCGATCATTCGCCATCCAATCATAAATAACATGTTCCTGTCTTTTGTCGCTTTTAATCCCTCGCCCATGCACCAGTTAGGTTAAGACGTTTGTCGACACTTTCAGTTCCTTTGTCACAATGCACGAATACCTGTTTACATGGTTGTCGATGCCAATCAAAGACCAATCAATAGCACTTGAGTACAAGCTAGGTGCGATTCTTACTGATCGTTAAACAGTCCGAGACAAAAACCAGTCAAACGCATCACGACGATGGCTGTCATAATCAATCAATTACGAATCAATATCTGTAGTACCCTATAGGAGCCTGTAGGACCAACTAGGTACCGTCTTCGTTTAACTATCACACAACAGAACAGGCATTATATATATATCGACACAAAATTAAAAATATCATTAGGCTATAAAGAAAACGTTACATGATACATGTTTCTCTAATTTCACGTGGGCGTGTCTGTTATAAACGGAGACGCCATATTGTTTTCTTTTATTAATGACGTCACTGAATCTCAAACGGACGTCTTTTCATTACGGTGATACCTTGAGAATATTGGTGTAATGGTGATACACTTAAAGGGTGATGTATGTCTGGTAAAAGTTTAATGTGGAAATCGATCATCCTAATTCATAAAAACGTACGCGCGCTCACATCATTTGCGTCATCCGGGCGGCTTGTCGTCGTCATATGAATCTCACTGTGACGTCACGCTCGGTAAATGCATTAATTCGGATACTTCAATCTCATAGTTGCTGGTATAATAATGTCAGTGAATAGCGGGGTCTTTTTAACGTATTGGCTGTTTCATAGAATGAATTACGCGAGTTATTACCAACATATGTACTCTGGCCTTTCCTGGACAAATTGACAATATATATCAAGAGAAGTTAACAAACAAATTTTATTTGTTAAGACTGTATCGGTTTGGGTGAATTTCACAAAATATATTCAGGTTTTGTTTTTTATGATTTCGTCATTTTCCGGGTATTTGATTGTTCTTATCACCCAGCATGGCGACCTCCTCTTGTGGATGAGGGGCGGTGGGGTAGCCTAGTGGTTAAGGCGTTCGCTCGTCACGCCGCAGACCCGGGTTCGATTCCCTACACGTTGGCACAAGGTGTGAAGCCCATTTCTGGTGTTCCCCACCGTGATGTTGCTGGAATATTGCTAAAAGCGGCGTAAAACTAAACACACTCACTCATTTGTGGATGACAGATATTGGTGCCATGTACTTGGCAGTTGGATGTTCAAACGTTCTGTAATTACAGTAATCATTAACTGATTGTTTTACATTATAAAATTTGACCCATATGACCAAAATGAACAAAATTACGTCATCCGGTGTGTTTATTCCATTAGTAATGTAATGACATCATAATATTGAAAATAATGTCAACAGCTATCTGTAACTACGGTTTAAATGAGAAGATATTTTCACTAAATCTGTAATTTTCTAGGATATCTCTTTCTAGAATTCTGGTGTAACTCGTTGTTCCCCCTGGCAACATGTGTCGCCATCCACCATTGCGTTGTATTATGGCGTCCATTCAATTCTTACAGAGTTGAAACATCAGATTAGTATTTGATAAGCTTGGGAACTCATGATTTTCCAATTATTTGAGGGAGGTTTTGACGGCAGAGGGGCATCTTTGTGACCAGATGTGGTATCAGTAAAATCAACGTATTACTATGTAAAACGCGAATCATTACATTATACCGTACACTATCCGAAGAGCTATTTTGTCAGGCTACGAGAGATTCATTCACTTTTTAAATGCACGTATGGTGTGTTATCTCCACGCACAGACACACGTGTACACCCTGTACATGTATATTATTACATTCAATGACATACACGCAAGCTACATACCTACCTAATTAAGTAATACAAGACTCAATATTAAAGTTGACCTTACTAGAACAATTATTCTGATGTGAATGGCCGTCACACTACACTTGTCGCCCCACAATGCACTGTCCATAACAGTACTGTTCAACCCTGTTCGGTTCTGTTTTAGATACATACATACACTCCTTATTATCTCAATGAATACATATTCTGGTTAGGGTATGTGAATATATACACCCCTTTATAAGACTTATCTGAGTATCCGAGGCCACAGAAGGTTAGGGTATGTGAATACATACACCCCTTTATATGACTTATCTGAGTATCCGAGGCCACAGAAATAGCAACACTTTATCCGCCTTGCCTCTATCGCCTTACAGCACTATAGACTGTCAGAGATCAATGTGATATCAGGGTATAAACGGAAGTATGCGTTATCTGACGGTCATCAGATATTGGCAGGTGACGGCGTATTTTGCTGACGCTCATGGTTTAAATAACAACAACATTTTTTAAAAAACTTACACAGCCTAACCATGACACATTAAATATATGATTAGCTTAAGTGGTGGTGATAACCATCGTTATTTCGTGTGAAGTTTTTACAGAGAATTAAAGGAGTTTGTTACCGATCAATTAAAGCAGGCTTGGTAGAGGAAACTCAACACACTATAAATAGTGGTAGAGGAAACTCGACACACTATAAATAGTGGTAGAGGAAACTCGACACACTTTAAATAGTGGTAGAGGAAACTCGACACACTTTAAATGCTGATATAGGAAACTCAACATATATTAAATCGTGTTAGGGGAAACTCGACACACTTCAAATAGTATTAGAAGAAACTGGACACATTTTAAACGGTGGAAGAGGAAACTTGACACAGTTTATATCGTGGTAGAGGAAACTCGACACACTACAAATAGCGGTAGAGGAAACTGGACACATTTTAAATCGTGGTATAGGAAACTGGACACAGTCTACATAGTGGTAGAGGAAACTCGACCGCCTTTAAATTGTGGTAGAGGAAACTCGACACACTTCATATAGTATTAGAAGAAACTGGACACAATTCAAATCGTGGTATAGGAAACTCGACACAGTTTATATCATACGACATAGATGTTATCTTGTTACATCAAATACGGAAACAACGAATGTAATAATCTGTTTTACCTTAATGCCATCCTTAAGATATTGACTCGCATGATCCAGTTATGTTTACAATACTAAAACACACCGGGCTAGTATTTTCAAACTATGTGAATATGAAAAAGGTTTCTACTTGTAATTCAGACAATCAAAACACGTGACAATTGCATATTTTCTAATTTCGACCTATTAAATGTTAAATAATGCCTTTCAGGGTAATGGTTTTAGGTGTATACTACTCTAAACAAGTTAAGCATAACCTCCTGATTCCTTCCAGCTGTTGTTGAATGACAGATTATATGTAGTGATATGAAATATTAAGGTGTTCCTTTGGATGTTCGAAACACGTCACCCAGGCCTTTGAAAATGTTCTATCATGAAGACGTTGTAAAGTAAGAACAGAAAACGGTTATTTGTGTGTTGACATTTCATCGAATATTTTATTCATTTGCAATGTCACAACATGTTTGAAATGTCACAATCCTGTACCATCATTGCCTCGTAACCGTGCTAACGATGTTTCAATGCATTATTTTCTAATCCACGAATGTATATTAAATGCCACTTAGAAACTGGTAAAATGTAACATATGTAATAGTTGGAATTACACTCAGTAAAGTACACATTCTTGTACTTTTATTAGGTTGAGTCCAATCTCAGATTCGAACCGACCATCTCAGAGTCACCTAATCGCCAGCGCACAAAATCAGCGATCTAACCCACTCAGCCAGCGCAACTATCACATCCACAAACGAAGAAGCCAAACTACTAACCATAATATAATTGTTGGTAATTTCGATTTGATTCCTCCCCATGCCATCCCACACAACGTTGCTATGGTATTAGCTGCCGGATGACAGCGTAAAAGAGTAAGATAACTATTGGATATAGCTGGTGATGATATCGATCGATTTTCAAATATTTATCCCATTTTAGCAGCAGGTATCAAATTTACATTTTGTAAATGTCGCTGAAATGTTAGATCACCAGATCATGTGTGACATTTGTTTATAGCTTCGAGCCATACAAAGAAGACATTTGGGGGGATCTTAAACTGCTATGTACCGAACAAAGGAAGCACCAACATTTTGGGGATATTTGTAAGAAAATGTGTTCTCACAACAGCACACATATATTCACCGAAATGTTTATGAACCCTACACTTTTGGGGTTCAGTATAGTATGAGACCGCCTCCGTGGTGGTGGTTAGAGCGTCCGCCCGGAGAGCGGAAGGTCGCGGGTTCGATCCCCGACCGCGTCATACCAAGAGACGTTAAAATATGGTACTTGTTGGTCCCTGTCTGGCGCTCGGCATTAATGGGTACAACAAGGACTGGTCGGCTCGGAGTCAGTATAATGTGTCTGATTGGGGTATTCATGCTACACTGCGGCATGGTATCTCAGTGGGCTAGCACTATAAAACCAGCTTAAGTCTGGGCTAGTACAAGCAGCCGCACATACCCATACACACGCATGCACGTCGTCATATGAGCGAAATATTCTCAAGCACGACGTTAAACCCAATTTCACCTCACCTCACCAGTATAGTATGAGTGGGTGAATTTGGTTTTATGCCGCTTTTAGCAATATACCAGCAATATAACGACACTAGAAATATGCTTCACACATTGTACCCATGCGGTATCTTTCCTTTACTGTGCGGCCGCCATGATCCAAATGTTGATTGGAACATGGCATGCGTACAAAGCTATTGCAGTTTGGCTGTTGCCATGTTTATAGAATGTACGTTAAATACTTTCCTTGTGGGAATGATATACTGTATATCAATCATGTATATCAATCACTGACAGTCTTCTTACATTCTGTGTTTGTAGAGAACACAAAGAATGTGTTTTTGATAGCAAGAATGTCTGTTTTATACGGACATACCCAATTCATATATATATTATGTTCTGAACACTACAATTCTCAATTTGTATGTAAGATAGATGATACTAAACGACCTTCCGTGTAATACCATTTTATTAAATGAGTTATTGATTTGGTATCAAACGAGCGAAAGCGAGTTTAGTATTTCTGTTTATTAGTCTCCGATATAGATCGATAGAAACTGCCTACTAACAGTGTGATGACTTTCAGCTTTCCGCGAGTCAAGCAAGGCCTAATGCCATTGTGACGGAGGTATTAGGATTGTGTCGTCGTAACTGTAAACCAGTATGAGGTCATACGTCTAGCGGTATTACACTAGTGTAATATTGCCGTAAAACTATTACAGTGCAGTATCTTCCACGGGCGAGTAATAAATCATATTATTATCCATATGGTAAAACATAACCAGTGTCATATATATCATATGTGCACATGTGCACATATCACTTTTGCCTAGCAACCATTGTTTCTGTATTTTGTAGTCTGTGACGTCATTAAACAATTGAACCTGACGTCAATGAACAGGGCAGTCACACTTGCTTGTCGTGTTTTACTGTACAGATGTACACGAATAAAATGAAAGGAATTATTACACTCGCAAGTGTACCACGCGACTTACACGAAACTCGTAGAAAATTTCACACTCGTTTCGTATAAGACGTATGACACACTTGCTCGTGTAATAATCTCTGTATACAGCAGGGTAATGGGTTAACGGCTCGACAGTTCGACAGCTCGATGATGACGGAGATTGTCCCTGCTTCCAAATCTCCCCGAGGTTATTCCTTTATCTGTTGACATTTTGAATACGCTGTGTTTTGTCGCTAGGTGTCGTCATTTATTCGCTGTTTGAAATGAAAACCACATATAAAGAGTGAGTGAGTTTAGTTATATACCGCTTTTAGCAATATTCCAGCAATATCATGACGGGGACACCAGAAATGGACTTCACACATTGTACCCATGCGGGAAATAGAACCCGCGTCTTCGGCGTGACGAGTGAACGCTTTAACCACTAGGCTACCACACCGCCCCCACGCGTAGAAGGGTGGTGAATACACGCAAGCATGTGCATTTCATCTTGACAGAACTGCTGCACAGTTTTTATATCCTGGACTACTTAAACCCATCTACTTGATCAAACTAAATCAGATCACTGATGTACTTATTTAACGGTTCGACAGTTCGACATGTCGGACCTGATAAACGAGTGATTGTCCCTGCTTCTAAAACCCCGCTGACTTCGTCCCGTTATCTCGTGTCATTTTGAATCCGCTGTGTTGTGTGGTACAATGTCACTGTTAAACCCTCTGGGCCATTTGTCAAGGTACAAGTGAAATAACTGTCCTTTTGAGTACAACAGCGGTTGATTCACGCTTAGCCTGAACTTCACTATTTCCCAAGAAACTAAGCTCCTTGCGTAACCACGGTAACATGCCATCAATCCGTTTAAGTGATTAGCCTGTCTATATGTTAAAGAATGAGAGTTAAAACAACCTCAGCACAGAAATCAAGTTGTAGAACGAGGTCATCACAAGGGAAGCACGCCGTTGCCACGTCGTTGCCAGGAAGATGTTGTTTTTCAGCTGTCATTCATCCAGTGGGGATCAATAGTCGATCTCTTCCGCATCAGTTCATGTAGGGCGATGCATTATTCACACAACTGACCCACATACAGTCGACCCACTTATCTGCTGACACTGCGTGAAGGGTGGTCAAGTAGTCCCAGATCACCTTCCTGGTTCGAATCCAAGATTTACCAACTTTAATCTGGTAGCAGCCTTCCCCTGTTTGCGGAATTCATCGAAGCGGTAACTGTCGGTCTGAGTCCTTGGTTACCAGATTCCCCACATGGGAACAATGTGTGAAGCCCATTTCTGGTGTCCCCAACCTTAACATTGCTGGAATATTGCTAAAAGCGGCGTAAAACCATACTCATCTTACTCGTGGCGGTGAGGTAGCCTAGTGGTTAAGGCGTTCGCTCGTCACGCCGAAGACCTGGGTTCGATTCCTCACATGGGCACAATGTGTGAAGCCCATTTTTGGTGTCCCCCGCCGTGATATTGGTGGAATCTTGCTACAACGGCGTAAAACCTTGCTTCACCTTGCTTCCCACAAGGAACCGATCGTCAGATCTAACGCGATACACGTCAGAAAATGATTCCCTAATTAGTGTCCCTCTGATAACGTCATGGGGTTTGTAGGCAACAAACTCTTGGGTTGCCGCAACGTAGGAATATTAGGCTCTCCTTTCAACACTAACCTTACACATAACGTCGTCATGTACATTTATGTACATAGTTATATGTGTGGGTAGACTTTGGTTTTGAAAACTTGTCACTGGTTTTACTAACCCTATAGAATATTGGCGGTTGGAGAGACCAGTGGTTAAAGCGTTCGCTCGTCGCGATAAAGGCCCTGGTTCGATTCCCCACATGGGTACGATGTGTGAAGCAAATTTCTGGTGTCATCCGCCGTGATATTGATGGAATATTGCTAAAAGCGGCGTAAATCTAAACTCACTCACCCACCCTACAGAATAATCTGACCTGCATCGTGTACCATGCTGCAGCATCTTACACACAACAGTGTCTCGCAGAGCATGGCAGTTCCCAGCGGATATGTGCTATGTTTTCCTGGAGACTACATGACTGATTAAAAAGAAAATAGACTTTTGTTAAGCCCACGCAGCTCACTGCAGAATAGTGTTGTTTATTAACAACGGCTGTGTTTACCTACTGCCGTCGTTACTTACCAAGACCTGGTATTGAAGTGGCACTGATCCAGATTCGTGAACAATATAATGACGTCATCAAGCTGCCAGGTAGTCAGTCCCTGTTCCCTCGACCGTGACGAAACACGAGGACTGGACACTGTCCACCTTGGCAAAATTTCGTCAACCTAAGCAATAAGAACGGTGTATGCCCATCAGATGCCGTTATTTGCTCTAGATCGGTGTCCCTGTAACCAGAGACCATATATATATGGTCTTTGCTGTAACAGGCTGTTGTAGTGTACAGTCCGTTTGAGACAAAATAATACCGATGAATTGCAATCTAACACAAAAAACAAATAGACATAAAGAATCAAACCAACGCGGAGTGCAATAAAAACAACAGACCAACTCTAGAAAAAAAATGCCTAATTTTGTTTCACAAAAATAAAAAAGTTGTTTAAGAAACTGTCATCATTTATCTGTGCGTTTTCCAAGTTTGTTACAAGGGCTCATTGGCAACTAAAGGAACAGCGCGAAAAGCGAGATGCACGTGCGTTAACGGGTTCTCAACAAATGTTTGAGCTGGCGAGATGACACGTACCCCAGCTACACAGGCAGTGCGCTGAATGTACTTAGTAATTGCATACTTGGGTCACCCCGTCATTTTCATCCTTGAAGAAATCATAGACTTTGTAAATTATAGACTTTCATTTTCTCTCACTTTGTCAATCAGCAGTAATCACATGTCACTAATGCACGTGCATCTCGCTTTTCGCGCTGTTCCTTTAGTTGCCAATCCGCCCTTGTATAACAAACTTGGAAAACGCGCAGATAAATGATGACTTTTACTTAAACAACTTTTTTATGTTTGTGACACAAATTATGTATTTTTTTTTCTAGAGTTGGTCTGTTGTTTTTATTGCAGTCCGCGTTGGTTTGATTCTTTTATGTCTATTTGTTTTTGTGTTAGCTTGCATTTCTTTGGTATCATTTTGTCTCAAACGGACTGTAGTTGCTGTTGCGTTTGTCTGGAGAGCCGAAGGTCGGTGGTAAATCCTGGTTTGTCATTAAATGATGTTACTTGTTACCCTACCTAGACTTCCGTTTTTAAATATAAACAAAAGCCTGGTCGGAATCATTATGTGTCTGAGCGGGTATCCATTTTCTACTGGCAAAAGCTAGCACAAACACCCCCACTGCGCTTCATTTGACACGGGCGGTGGGGTAGCCTAGTGGTTAAAGCGTTGGCTCGTCACGCCGAAGACCCGGGTTCGATTCCCCACATGGGCACAATGTGTTAAGCCCATTTCTGGTGTCCCCCGCCGTGATATTGCTGGAATATTGCTAAAAGCGGCGTAAAACTAAACTCAGTCAGTCAGTTCATTTGACACGGGATTCTGCGTTCAGTTCCACAAAGGGATCGTTGCGCTACGCCTCTCCCACGTCAATGTTAAAGTATGGGAGTTACGGCCATCTTAAGGCTATGTTGGCTTTTTGAAGCGTCATACTGGTATTTACCTAAGGTTAACGTAGCACATTCCATTCCTTACGGCAATATCTCCATACCGCTTGCACTAGGTCATTCAAGGTCATTACGTAATTTGTGACACGATGCTTTTCCGATACTGACTGAATATTAACTTTTACACAAGTAATTACATTCCCCTAAACGATTTTATTTCAGTATGGGTTGCGGAGCCAGCGTGGGTAACGAGGAGGACCCACTGAAAGTGGTTGTGTTTGGAGCTCTTGGAATGGTGGGTGGAGCGGTGGCGTCGGCTCTGGTCAAAAGTCCAAGGGTGAAGGTCATCGCTATCACTCGCACCCCAACGAGTGGTCGTGCTAACGAACTAGCTGAGAAAGGTGAGAACATATATCATTGCAATTGATTAACATGTTTCCTGTACCTCGTCAAATATCGCCTGCAAGATTCGAATATTATTCCATAACTTTTCACGTCATTCCCTAGCATCAACAAAATAGAAGCCGTTGCATAATATTTTCGTATATAATAGTGCACTATGTAACCATATCTGGCTTATATTTTCGGACACTCTTTTTGGTAAATATATTTGTGTTGTCATAACAGTTAATCGAATGGCCGTTAAAGAACGCGTATATTTGTAAATTTGATTTGACCAAAAAGATCTATGAAGAGGTCACTAGTGAATCTTGTAGGAGTTGAATTGAGATGCAAGACTTATGTATTTAATAAGTTGTAGGCCTACAACGATACCAAGAAGATCAGTATGTGATATGTGTGTTGTAGGCGCAGTGATAAGTACAGCTGATCTGAATGATCCACGGAGCTTGGAGCGCGTTTTCGAGGGAGCGCATGCTGTCTTCCTGACAACACATTACTGGGAGCACTTCAGCAAAGAGAAGGAAATCACACAGGTGAGAGTTATTTCCCCTTAGGTAAATACCACAGGGAATCAACAATCATATATTTCAAAAATACTTTCAGGAAATACGAGGGTCCTGTATGGTAATGGAGTGGTGCAGTCTACTGCACTGAAAAAATTGATAATGACTTGAATTACAGAGTCTGCATAATTAATGTCATGGAATTTACAAGTCCCTCAGTTTGTATGCTTTCTACGTCCATTTATTAATAATAGATTTGTGCGTACTGAACGCACATGTTTCCGTCTTATAAAACAATGGAGATGTCATTTCCATGACGCTTTCAAGTTCTTAAAATACCAAAATATTTTTTGATGACGTTAGAAGTTAGACTGGATACAATCTCTAGGACTGATCGTAATATTTATAAGATATGAAGTTTTTATAGCAATGTTTCAATTTCCGGGGATTTTATTTGCTGTTTGTTTGCTGAATGACATTCGTGACAATATTACATAATGACATTATATTATAATGAACTAGTGTAATCAACAACAATTTTTCTATCAAAGGGCACCAACGCTATAGACGCTGCTGTCAGCTGCAACATCCGCCATCTTGTTTTGTACGGTTCCGAGGCGCCTGACCCCGAGAAAGTACCCGAATGTGGCCCCTTTGAAGCAAAGGCTGAGTTGGAAGAGTATTTGATGTCCCAAGGTAGGATGTGCCTGTTTTGTTCAGGATTTACCCGTTGTTTGTTGTTTACCGTTGCGCTCAACACTATTCCTGATATATGACGGTGACCTGTAAACAATCCAAGGACAAGACAATCAAGTGATTGATATTGTGAAAACCTTCTCGCACCCCAGCGCAGTGATAACTCAGCATCAGCATACCATCACTACCATAGGCGAATTTGCATATCACATGACCGGACTTTTCGCTTTTTTTTTGGACAAGCGCGGGTATTCCGTAATCAGATTTGACTGTATTAATGCATGTTTCCCGGTGCGCTTTTTGTACTGATGTGCATCATTAAATACATGCTATTACAAAAGGTAAGTATTCCATCCCACATGTCTCAGGGGCGGATACAGCATTTTGAGAAAGGGGTGTGTGTGTGTGTGTGTGTGTGTCTATCTTTATGTACGGACACGTCAAAAGCAAAACAGATGAAAAACATATAAAAGATCTTGAAGCGTCAATGGTACTATGCTGGCCGCATGGTACTCTGTTTAGGAGAGTGTAACCTTCCTCGCCCACGCAGTATGTTGACATTCAATAAACAAGTGCGACTGTCATTCTTCACGAGCCTAGTGGTTAAAGCGTTCGCTCGTCACGCCGAAGACCCGGAATCTATTCCCCACATGGGCACAATGTGTGGAGCCAATTTCTGGTGTCCCCCGCCGTGATACTGCTGGAATATTGCTAACAGCGGCGTGAAACAAAACTCGCTCACTCACTTTACAACTCGTGAAGATCCGGGTGAGAATTTGTCATGCTCATCGTAAGAGGCAACTAACGGGATCGGGTGGTCAAAGCTCGCTGACTTGGCTGACACATATTATCGTATCCCAGTTGTGTATATCGATGCTCATGCTGTTGATCACTGGATCGTCTGGTTCAGACTTGAATATTTACATACCGCCGCCATATACCTTGAATATTACTGAGTGCGGCGTTAAACAACAATCAATCAATCAATCAATCAATCAATTCAATCCAATCATAATATCTTCGGTAGCTGTTTGTATGTGTGCACAACGCGTGAAACTTGAGTTCCTAAACATATAGAAATATTGGTTTGGGAGCATACCTGGAACTATTTTGCTCTCTTTACAGATATACCATACACGTTGTTGAGGATGCCATTCTTCTATGAGAACCTGTTGACAATATTTAAGCCGCACAGATTAAAAGAGGGCAAATATGCAATAGGTGAGTTGGAAGCTAATCAACGCTGCTCGAGGTCGAAGCCAACACAAGTGAACACAAGTCAATAGTCAGCTACACCGGAATACATGTATATTGTGTCCAGAAGTGACAGCAATGTACGTGCACTGCAGAGACATATTATCTGTAGCAATGTGAATAAACATATATTTTACGATAGCTTCAATCACTTTGTACTTACCATTTTAGGTTTGATAGTCTATTTTTCGGCTTCCTGTCGAATACTTGTAATTTAATGTTATACACGATAAGTGCTACAGGCACCCATATGGATTTTATAATTTGACTTTTATTACGAGGTAAGTACTGCTTTCAACCAATATGGCTTTTATACAATTACATTTATTATGAGATAACTACTGCCTTCTACCCATATGGATTTTATGATTACTGTTATTACGAATTAGTCCTGCCGCCTACCCTCGTGGATTTTATAAACTGACTTTTATTGAGATAAGTGCTGCCTTCTACGAATATGGCTGCCGCCTACCCTCGTGGATTTTATAAACTGATCTTTATTATGAGATAAGTGCTGCCTTCTACCAATATGACTGCCGCCTATCCACGTGGATTTTATAAACTGACTTTTATTATGAGATAAGTGCTGCCTTCTACCAATAAGGCTTTTCTAACATGACGTTTGTGGTATGTGGTGATGTTCGCCAGCTGAGGAAAATGCCCTCCGTGGAAAATTTGTAAGTGAACGATATATTGCCTCAGTGCACATCTCCATGTCCTGATTAAATCACCTATCAGTATCAGATTGCTTAGGAAATACCTAGTTTCAGCAATATTCCAGTAATATCATAGTAGGTGAAAGCTACTGTATACCTCGAACGTCTTAAGCGTGCCTAGCCAACGCTTGAACCACTTGGCTAACTCGACCTTCCCTTTCTCTTACAGCCTTGCCACTAGAGGGCGACTCAATTGACTGCATGAGCGTGAGTGATATGGGGCGATGTGTCTTGAACATATTCCTGAAGCCGAAACCATATCTTGGTCAAACGGTCAACCTGGCTATAGACAGGATCACGGCCAAGCAGATGGCGGACATGCTGACCAAGCACATGCATCATATCGTCTTCGTTTCTCCACTGGTACGCTGTTTCTTTTCTTCGTTGTTTTACGCCGCCAGTGGTTGATATTATGACACCCACACTGTCGGTGCGAGACACGAAATCCACGAAGTCATCGAGCCAGCCTACCTTATCCAACCTAGTGACAACGAAAATAATCAGACTGTCTGTAGAGCCCTCATTTTCTCCTTTAGGGTGAAAACGGTTTGTTTGTATTTTTCAATGAATAGGAAAAGCAACTTGCTAAATGTGTCAACGGGTCCTGACTCCCGATCACCAAAACGGTCGTAAGCCTATGATAAACTATAGAGTTACGACAGGGTCGTAATGCTACGAACACTTTGAGGATCGGGACCTTGATGAATAAAATAACGAGCCAATTTGAAATCGAATGGGCCTGGCTCTCTAATGAAATACTAACCATTTAACAACAGTATGTGTGGTAAGAAACACTCAAACCGAAACATGAGTCTCATTAACCTATTAAGACAATGACCTCCTTTTTTCAGCCGATCCGAATTTACACGTGTGAAAGTGAAAATAGACATCAGAAACAACTATGGTTAAACTGAATTCCAATTCCTTGTTTCACAAGAAATGGTATTTACAAATGAATTTTAATTTTAAACTTTAATAATTTCATATTTCTACATTTTATGGCGAGGTGTAGGTGGCATGACTTTAGCTAAGACGTCACAGACTGCCCCAGTTTGATGAGGTCGTAAAATGATTCACAATGCATCTGGCTCACTGGTTACACCTGTTATGTGTTTTTTGTGCTTATTCAGTGAAGTTCTTTAACGCTTAATGTGATTGATATAATATCAAGTCCGTACCAGACCGCCAAACCTTTCTAGCGGCAGAGCCTCGTTTTGAGATTTCCAGGTTTCTGTTTGTCAGTGCTCGCTGTACGACAGAGCACGCTGCACGGCATGTTTGCAAGGATTATAAGGAGCGTAGTGTTGCAATATACAAGTGCTTAGATGTATCAAATAATACTGATTAATATTTATGTATCCAGTGCAATGAATTGGTCTCAAAATTCTGGACTGGTTATTGTACTAAGTTGCGCAATAGGACGGAATCCAGTCAACAGGAAACGAGACTGTCGTGTAATCAATGTTTTAACTTGTTTGAATTGTCACGCGCTTCACATTTGCTCTATCAGGAATTCATTCAAAGAATAATAACCTAATGTAATTAACCTAATCATTGATGTTCAAATTAATAAATAACCCCAAGATCGTTTAGTAAATCCAAAAGACTTCAAATTCACAAGGAGGTTTGTTGTCTGAATCCACCCAGTATACATCTTCATAGATTTCATTAATCCTTCTATCCTTCATCCATATCGGCACCCGCACTTTTACTGGTTGTTTAAAACCTTTTTTCGCATACCACTTACTGACTCTATGGCTTTATGGCCGTCATCATTCCATGTCTATGCAAGCTGCGGGTAGTAACATACTCCAGTTATTTGACTTTGAAACCACCGGGACGTATTTATTTATTTAAACGTTTTGTTGTAAAAATGCGATCATGGCGTATGGTGCCTGCCTTTTTCAATCACTCATTTTAAACTATTCATGTCTGAGGAGTGTCTTTTATTGGCGTCTGAGAGAAATGAACTTTTGTTTTGTTTTAGATTGGCATTGAAGACTATGCGAATTTCAAATTCAGTGGAGCCAAGGATCTCGCAGCTATGTTCCAGCACTATAGAACCGTGGAGGCTGTTGGAGACATTCGTGCGACGAAGAAACTGTGCGGTACGTCTGTAACATTCGACAGGTGGGTGATTGAAAACACAGATAAGATCATGCTGGCGATGAAGGAAGACGAGGAGTTGTGATGTCCATTGAAGCACGAGCTTCATCAGGTAGTCTGCAGGATGGTATTGCTTCGTGAGGACGTGAATTTTTTTTCGCGTCTTTGTCGGGAGGATGTGTTCAAAGGGACGTGAATGGAGTGCATGGCTCATTGGAAGTGTCCATCACAACGTGCCTCAAGGAAAGTGTATGGAACAGTTACTTTCAGGAAAGTGTTTATCTGGCACTTTGAAGCTTCTGGAACATGTTCAATGGTGATGTTTATCGGAAGTGTCCATTACAACGTGTACCAAGAAATGTGTATCAAACAGTTGCTTCAAGGAATGTGTATCAAACAGTTGCTTCAAGGAATGTGTATCAAACAGTTGCTTCAAGGAATGAGTATCAAACAGTTGCTTCAAGGAATGTGTATCAAACAGTTGCTTCAAGGAATGTGTATCAAACAGTTGCTTCAAGGAATGTGTATCAAACTGTTGCTTCAAGGAATGAGTATCAAACAGTTGCTTCAAGGAATGTGTATCAAACAGTTGCTTCAAGGAATGTGTTTATCTCGTAGTTTGAAGCTTCTGGAACATGTTTGATGGTGATGTTTATCGAAAGCTTGCTTCACTGTGGAGCTGCTGGAATGTGATTCAAGAACGTTTTGGGAGCACTTACGTAACCTTGACGGAACAGGTGTTTTAAAAGTTGCTTCGAACGCGTGCTTCCACGTGACAGGAACACATGACTCAAGTGAAATGTTCGGAACTTTTGGGAAGAAGAGTTGATCACACTCTTCACTGGAAATTGTTTGAACGTTGTTCTGGCATGCTTCGAGTGATGAAATTACCTAGATAATAGTTTTACAGAAGACAGCTCGATTCTCGAACAAGTGACCTAATCACGTGACCTACGTAAGGGGCAAGGACAACCCACGTTGTGTTTAGGCCTTCTGCAAGTTGGCTGTAATCGCACAAGCTATTTACAGGGTAACAGTCGTTAATGTGATTGAGTTGACATCAAAGGTGCAACGCAATGGACATGTGACTGCCCACTTTGAAACCCTACCATTTGCAAAAGGGGTAGTTACAAAAGTGAAAACATCGTTTTTGTGTTGAGTAGGGTCTATATTATAATAAATACATATATTTACAAATATCCTTTTTGTCTAACCGAAACAAATATATAACGCACAATACAGTGGACTACATGGGGATATTTTTACTCAAATAAACATGCTTTCCACACACATTATCCGTCTTTCCGACTCTTGTGAAAAAAAACATACAGCTAAGAAAAGGACCTCGGACATGGAATTCCATGTCCGATACCAGTTATCTGAAATAGTTTGTAAGAAACTACATACGAAGTGTATACACGCTGCTTATCAACCATTTTGTTTTTCTCTCAGTTTTAGAATAATTACATACATTATCTATTACCATAGATATTTTAAGAAACTAATTTAAACTTTGTAAAGTGTGTATATGTGCAAACTTGGTCTCGTCGCTATATGGCTATAACGAGTGAGTGAGTTCAGTTTTACGCCGCTTTTAACAATATGCCAGCTATATCACGGCGGGGGACACCAGAAATGGGCTTCACACATTGTACCCATGTGGGGAATCGAACCCGGGTCTTCGGCGTGACGAGCGAACGCTTTAACCATAGGCCCCTTGCTATAACGAAGCCGATGCCACGTGAAACTTCAACTCAACTCAACTGAACCGTCTGTTTGTAATTGTGTCAGTATAGTGTTATCGATGCACTAAACTGATAAAACAGCTTGTGTCATGATCAACTGCATACGCCGACGAGGTAAATTAACTATTGACTTGAGTTCCAAATAAGTTAGTATATGGATTTCATAATGCACGGGCTATTCTTCTGATAAATGTGGATGCACATCATATAGCACAATGAGGTGAGGTGAGGTGAAATTGGGTTTAACGTCGTGCTTGAGAATATTTCGCTCATATGACGACGTAGCACAATGTGACATATGGCGGGGCCAAATCAAACATTGTTTTCACATGCAACTTCTAAATCTCCTGTTTTAATTGAACAAACTGTTTAAACATCGGTTATGTATTAAAGAGAAAGTGACTGATTAATCCGATTCCGCTCCGACAAAGGAATCAACCTATATACAAGTGTCTTAAAGTGTCTTGACAAGCGATAGGTGTGTATAAAAATACTGAATCAAAAATAGTTTGATAGTTAATTAATATTGTAACGGCCAAAGTCACGCCTTTACATTAACAGCTGTGTCAGTGCATTTCTTTAGCGGTATGCAATTAAGCTTTGAGTTTGGAGTAATCTGCCTTGAGCACGGACTTTTCGTTCAAACCTGTAGCACAAACGTACCATGCACTCAAGCGAAGTTAGAAGTATATTTCATTCAGTTTAGCTTGCATTTTGTATGTTTGAACTGGCCATGCTATCGGTGGTTTATGCTATTTTTCATATAATTTTCAATCTTTATTTTTTTTTATTGTTCCCATATCAATTTTAGGCAAACTTATAAATTATGGTTGTGTAATTCCACAAAAATGAGCTTGTTTTCACAGAGAGGGTTTATGGATATAAACTTCATTATTATAAGGAACATAACATTTCCGTGGATATGCTAAGTCTTTCATGAGCTGAAGCAACTAAGCAGAGTGGAGTAATGGAATGTATAGGACTCCTTGTAATAAAGAAGATGACATCATTAAATTCTCTCTAGACCCGTGAAGATCTGGGTTAGAAATGGTCTCGGTAACCCATGCTTGTCGTAAGAGTCGACTAAAGGGATTCGGTGGTCAGACTCGCTGACTTGCTTGACACACGGCATTTGCGTAGATCGATGCTCATGTTATTGATAACTGGATCATTGTCTGGTTCAGACTCGATTATTTACAGACCACCGCCAAACCGCTGGAATATTGCTTTCCTGTGGAACTCTCTCCCTACAAACATTAAATCTACTCCAACTCTCTCAAGTTTTAAATCTCACCTAAAGACATTCTTCTTTCTTGGCTACTGGCTGTCTTGTGTTTGCGCTTAGAGTATCCCAAGTGTTGTGGAATCAAGCGCATTACAAATGACCTATATCATTATGTGACGACCCCCAAGCACAATTATGACAGGTAAAGTGAATGAGTGCGTTTAGTTTTACGCCGCTTTTAGCAATATTCCAGCAATATCACTGCGGGTGACACCAGAAATGGGCTTCACATATTGTACCCATGTGGGGAATCGAACCCGGGTCATTGGCGTGACGAGCGAACGCTTTAACCTTTATCATACCGGCACTAGATCCCATTGTCAGAAACACTTAAAAGTTACAAGAGAATCTCGTAATGGTGTAACTAAGAAAACTCCAAAATGTCATAGTGATATCACGAACGGTTCCGGAGATACAGATATGTTCCCATATGGGAACACTGCATGATCATCGTGAAAAATGATACAAAACTATATGTTTGTAACCCATCTTATATTTCTTGAAATTTTGTGAACACCCACTTTCTTTAACACATAAATCGATGATGCAAGACTGTTCCGAGAAGAGCTAGGTAATGAAATGTTTGTTAAACAATCACATAAATTACGATGATGAGGTGGTATATAACTTGCCGTAGATTGGTATCGATTGCTACTTCCACTAACGCAGCTGAAATGGGTTTTCGTCGCAACATTTCAGCGACCAAAATCATGTGGCAAGTGTTCCTGAATGTTAGCCGACCCTTGCCAACATTGCCCTTGAACCAGGTCATCTGGTTCTAATGGGGTATTTCAATATCCATGTTGATTCTGTGTCTGACTCCTTTGCTAATTCTTTTTCTGTAACAAGCTAACCTTTCAATCTCTTGATTTATCATCAGTCTTCGATACCATAGACCACACGATACTGCTTTCTCGCTTGGAGGAAAGACTCGGTGCTGCAGGAAAGGCTCTTTCTTGCTTGATCGAATCTGTCCGCCAGAACTCAGGTTGTCAAGATGGGCGATGTTACCTCACTTACGATAACGGTTAACGTTGGTGTTCCACAGGGATCAGTTCTGGGGCCTTTGCTTTTCAGCAGATATATCCTTCCAAGAAGTGATATAATCAGGAAACATGGTTAATTGATCTTTCATCTCTATGCTCACGACAATTAGATCTACATATCTATAAAGCCATCTGAAACTGCTACTGGAATAAGTCAAATTGAAGCCTGTATTAGCGAGGTTAGATCCTGGATGACTGTGAATTTCTCAAATTAAATGACAGTAAAACAGAATTTCTACTACTTGGTTCTAAACAGCAGCTTTTGAAAGTGCCTGCAGGTCTGTCACTTAACATTGGCAACAGCAATGTCAGAACGACTCCATCTACAAGAAATCTTGGAATCATATTTCAATCCAGCATGTCCCTTGAAAAACATGTCAAGAACTTAAGCTAAACTTGCTTCTTCCACATGCACAACATCAGTAAAATCCGCCATGTTCTTGATCATGAAACGGACAAACTTCTTATGCAGACTCTCATGACATCACGACTAGATTATTGTTACTCCCTTTTCTTCCATATTCCTTCATCTCTGATCACAAAGTTACAGCGAATACAGAAAAGGGTTGTAACACGCACGCCGCGAACTGAGCATACCTACCCTGAAGGCACTCCACTGGCTGCCCGTGAATTTCAGGATACGCCTTCTTATCCAAAACTTTGTCCATGATGAATCATCATGCCACTATCTCAGAAGCCTTGTCAGCATATACCAACCAACCCGTACTCTCCACTCTGTTGCCTGTCAGTCCCCATCATGAAATCATCAATGGGTGATCGAGCCTTATCTGCCTCAGCTCCCCCTACTGTGGAACGATCTACCTCTTCCTATAACGATTGTCTCTGATAAACCTCATTTTAAGACTCTCATAAATACACACCTCTTCAAAGCAAGCCTTTGACTAGCTATTCTGAATGACTTTTACTTATATCTCCTGTACAAAGCGCCACTGAGCAACATATATTGATGGAATTTAGGTGCTATAGATATATACTACCCATCAAAAGTTTAGATCAACTAAAAGCACTCACTATATATTATATGTGTGTGTGTGTGTGTGTGTGTGTGTGTGTGTGTGTGTGTGTGTGTGTGTGTGTGTGTGTGTGTGTGTGTGTGTGTGTGTGTCTATATGTTACATCGAAGATGAACTTCTCCACAAACCCGGGGGAAGCAACTGCAAAGCTTATGTAGATGAATTGCACGAGGATCTTGCATCAAATTGCTGAAAAGCATGTGCAAATATCGTGCATGTGAACAGCTGCGTTTTGGTGTAAAGTTTTGGTAAGAATTCGCCAATTTTCACTGATATTTTATCAATTAATTAACTCATGACAATAATCTTTTCAACGTTTAGAATTTGTTTTACAATGCATCAGTTCATGTGTTAACAGGAACTTTAAACTGAATGGAATAATTGTAAAATCTAGTTTAGAACAGTTGACTGAAGTAAGTGGCTACATTTACTCTTGTGAGTCTAAACTTTTGATGGGCAGTAATATTTTCAAAATAAAGAATCGAACAGATCATGTGATGTTTGTCTTATCTATTATTACAGTTTATCTGAATATATTGATTTTAACGATGATCCTGCCAATGTTCCCGAATAGAACATTTAACGTCAATTCAAAGTTTTTACCTTATTTCCTGCTACAATGATAACATTTCTTTTGCCATTATATACCTACATTTTTTTGTTATAAGGACATGTGAAAAAAGTTTTAACATAATGCAATTGTATTTGTCAAATTGTTTTATCAATATGGTCCAAAAATATTCTTCTTCTTCTTCACGCATAAAAAAGTTACAAAGACGTTTATTACATGTTCCCATATGGGAAAATTGGCATACCACTAAGCTACCCCACCGCCCTATGCTATATAAATGAAACAGATGCATTATGATCACAACTTCCACGCGTCCATATCCACTGTGATCTTTCCAAACCGGTCTTCCAACATCTTCCGCATTTGATCAATAAACATATTTACAGACTTAATTTGTTTTTTGGAATAGAAGAAATCCAAAGTGAGTCCGATCTTTTTTCTGTGGAATGTTCCAGCAGAGTTGATCATGGCACAGCGGATGTCTCCTGCAATATCCGACTCTCCTAGGAACGCTTTAATCTTCACTAACTCCTGTGTCAGATTCTGTTTCAGTGCGTCATAGAAGATGAGCAGTACATCCCGATGCTTCATCCAGGAGGCAAGTAATTTGTGGTAATGATCAATCTCCTTGAATGCAAATTCATCCCAATCTGAAAGGACAGATGATGAATTTTGTAAAACGGTCATTCATGCATTTCTATGGAATCAGCATTATTATGTTGTGATTTTTTTTCACGAATACACAAATGTGATAATATGATGGTGGTAATTTATTGTTAAACAATGTCGTAATATTTATGACATTGTTTCTGTTAACGCTAATAGCATTGTGTTTCAACAATGCTTATTTGTTAGGCATGTGTTATTATCTAATGTAATCAGTGGTATGGAAATCATCAGATGTAGATACTTTTGGGGGTCGTGTATAATGGGGAATTTTCCAAAACAGCTGTAGACTATTCGAGCTTGATATGGAAGTTTCTAGTAGCTATTTATACTATATATGATGGCAGGCACACACGTCTCTCATCTCCTGTTACAACAGGACTTGTTAACGCCGCAGACAGCAATATTTCACCAACAAGACGGCGGTCTGTAAATTATCGAGTCTGGAACCAGACAATAAAACCTGTTACCAACATCGGCTACTCATCTGGGACACGACGACATTTCAACTAAGTCAGTGAGCCCGACCACCCGATCCCGTTAGTCGCCTCTGATGACAAGCATGGGTTTGCTTAAGACCACTTCCAGTCCGGATCTTTACGGGTTTATATTACATCACGACCACGGTTATATGAAGATAATATTTCCACCCTCGATATTCGTCCGATGTATATTTTAAAGCAGTGTATGTTTAGCGGCTATAACATTTCCGAGTCCCGTGCTGGAATTCGAACCACGGACCTTCTGATCCGAAGTCGGACGCCTTGTCCACATGGCCAAAGAGGTTAACCCCGTCAGCAAACTGACAAGGTAAGGATGTCATCTGTGGGATTTGAAATAAGCCAAAAACCCAGCCAGACATCAGGGCTGGTAACTTCAAAATGTTGCCAGCCAAACATGGATTTAACCAGACCAGGCAATCCAATGAAAATAACTCAGATGTATGGAACATGTTATCTATATTATTACCAGACCATCGGACTGGCTAGCTGTAAATTTGGATCGTCCGTCAGAAATCTAAACCGTTTCGGGCGGTCGGACGGGCCTTTTTTCATAAACTGCTTAAAAGCTAAACCACCGTTGCTGATAGAATCACTGACTTAATTGGTATTACTGCTGCTATTGCAGGTTGTATGGTGGTGTTCTATTTCTCATTGCCACTCTTCTGTGTACTGCCCCTGTAATTACTTTGCAATAATCTGTAGGTATATTGGAAGCCTAGTTAACGTTAATCGTGTAACATTTTGTTACTATTTACAGAGCTGCAGATAACTTTTGTGGTCATTGAGTTATGTACTCGCTTGTGTTCATCTCAATTAGGTATCCTTATCGTTCCTTTCGGTAACCACATAAATTGTACCCACCTCACTCAAACTCATTTGGGTATTTTCCCATTTTCCATTAATTGAAAACATATAATAAAGTTTAAATGTTATTATGATCTGTAATAAGAGAAACTATAAGAGAGACTGCAAGTTGCCAAGTGCATGTGTTGAAATATAACCTCTGAATATACTTCAGTTATTTTATCTATGCACCGGTACGCATGCTAAGATTCGACATTTTTGTGTGTACGCACGTAAGATCAAATTTATTGAGTATTTACAAAACTTCAAGCGACTTGTACGCAACAGACTTAATAAGAATTGAGTTTTAGATATTTGCGTAATTTACGCAGGTACACAGCTTATCTGTACCTCTGTAATAATAATTTAAATGTTTCCACACTGAATTCGTTTGTTTATACATGCCTTGGTTCACTCATTGTTTCACTGTGGACACGAAACACCAATATTTAGTTTTATCGCATTCATCTTACTGACACCTAACCAGGTATCTCAGCTCTGTTGAATAAGATACTGTATAGATAACTATATTTCAGATTCCACGTTCAGAATCCATGTGTAGCCAATTTAAATCCGTTTTAGAAATGAAACATTGAAGCGTAAATATGATTTGGTGTCATCAGTTATCACAGAGTGTTTTCATGTACCAATTCTGATTTTGAATAACCAGGAAAACCAGAATGGAGTTGCACATTGAAAAATAGGCGCCCATGTTATTCAAGTTAACCGCATCTTGTGACATTTGTTCTAACGCACGTCTAATTCAAGGTAGTTTAGCTTTGAAACAGAAAGAACAATGATTCCAGCAACCATAAAAACAAAGTTTTTGATTTAATAACATTGTGTCCTGTTTGGGAAAAACATACTTCCAGTGCAGTACAGCTTCAAAACTGAACTCCTATAATGTCATTCACCTGAGGAAGGAGTAAAGAAATACTCCGAAACGTTGTGTAAAGAAATAATAAATAATAAAGAAGTTGACATCCATAAACCTCTCTTCCTTATGGTCGTTTTAGATATGAAAGGACATTTTGCAAAGGTCCTGATTAGAATACAATTTGTAACAAGTGTGAACTCGGTCATTTTGCACACGTGTAAAACCAAGGAATCAAGAATTCAGCTTCGATTTTTCCAAAGCTATGGACAGAATTAACTACGCATATGAAAACCCCTTGCGATTAATCCTATATCTGACTCGGAGTTATAGAAGTTTGTGTGGTGTTCCAATATACATAATGACAATGAACATGACAATGAACATAATGACAATGAACATGATGACAATGAGCATGATGACAATGAACATGATGACAATGAACGTAATGACAATGAACATGATGACAATGAACATGATGACAATGAACGTAATGACAATGAACATAATGACAATGAACATGATGACAATGAACATAATGACAATGAACGTAATGACAATGAACATATGACAATGAACATGATGACAATGAACATGATGACACTGAACATAATGACAATGAACGTAATGACAATGAAAATAATGATGAACTGCCCGTAATATGACAATAGTTATATGATAATAGTGAAAACATGAACAAGATTTTGTTGTTAGGAACCTATGCCAACTTTGTCAACCTGGTACAGCTGTAATACTGCTGAATGCAGTTAAACAAACACGTCGACTATGCTTTTAGCGAGGATTTTTAATTGATGTTGCATTGGTTTAGTCGTTTCTATTTTCAGCTATGACAGATGGTAATACCCAGTCATTAGAAACAGAAGCATCTGTCATTCAACCTCTGGTGAAGATTTTGACATACTTGTAAGGAATAATGAAGATAATGTTTTCAGGCTTGAGAAAACTTAAGGTCTTTGAACTGAGCTTCATATCGATTAAGATGTCAAACATGTTTTGCTTTTGTGTTTGACGTCCCTCTCAAACACATTTTTTTCCATTTCTGTGACGGAGTATTTAATACTCCGGAATACAGCAGATAATTCTGTAAGATGACATTCAGTCAAAAAACACAAGCACCGTGCCCAACTAGGTGTTAATTTCCAAGTTAAAACTAAAAGATTGCCTGGACATCAGTTTGTGAAAGGCTAATACACGACGAAGCAATAAGTTATTTTTAACAGTTGTATTCTAAAATTAACTAGGTTACCAAATCAATACACATCACTACAAAGGTTTTACAGTGACGGTACAAACTAGAATGGCAGTAGAACTTCAAAGGCAGTGGTGATATTCACGTCACTGTAACAATGGTCAAACGTAGAAAAACATACTTAGGCTAAGTATCTAGGGTAAGAATGATCCCACACAACTATTGATCATCTTGTAATTTGAGATGTAAAGTTGAGTTAGAGGTAAGGGTTAGCTCCCCTCTTATGCTTAATAAAAAGATTCCAGAGGATTCTCCAGCTCCCTTGGTAAGGATACACCGGAAAGGTTCATGGGGTTTTAGTACACTGTAGAACCAATACTCTGTCTAAAATATAGCATAAGTCTAAATATAGCATAAGTCTAAATATAGCATAAGTCTAAATATAGCATTGACTATCCGCATGCACGATTTAGTACATTGTTGCAGAATGAATACCCATGAAAGTCCGGGTTAGAATTGATCTTCAGTAACCCATGCTTGTCGTAATTGGCGACTAACAGGATCGGGTGGTCAGGCTCGCTGACTTGGTTGACACATGTCATCGGTTCCCAATTGCGTAGATCGATGCTAATGCTGTTGATCACTGGATTGTCTGGTCCAGTCTCGATTATTTACGCACCGCCGCCTTATAGCTGGAATATTGCTGAGTGCGGCGTTAAACAACAACCAAACCAAACTCATTTGTATGGATCGATGTTGAGGTCATCACGGGAATATCGGCAACCTACAAACCGCAGGTATATACCTAGGATATTCAACATTTAATTACTCGACGCATTTATGACCATGCCGGTTATATTTGGAACCATTTTGAAAATAACCCAATGACTATACAGAGGAACCATGAGCAAATATGATTGTTTTATTCTGGAAATGGTCGGCGTAAAACTAAACTCCTTCACTCACACAATGAATAACGCTGCCACGTAATACCTCTTCTTGAAGACAAGGTGTTTGTAAATTACCTGGAATACCAACGTTTTGTCGTGCATATCACTGAACTACAGCAAAAGACCAAGATCAACCTGTTATTAATAACAAATAGTCGTAAGTACTTACCTTTCCCATATTTGTCGACAGTGAGCTCTCCTGTGTGGTTTGACTTTATAAGTTTGAATAGGGACAGGAATGCTTCATACGGGTTTCTTATGAGAAGAATAGCTCTGGTATAACGTTTGCCTTCATAATACTCGTGTGTCTTCACTGCCACTACAGAACCGTTGGACAGACTCTCACCAGGGAAACCGTTGAGTCGCAATGCCTCGTCAATATACACCGATCCTGTAGCAATCCCTAAAATATAGCGAACTGTATTTGTAACGACATTATCGTTGAGAGAGTTTGTCATAAATGGTTAATTTGTTGTTTAACGCCGCACTCAGTAATATTTAAGCTATATGGCGGCGGTCTGTAAATAATCCAGCCTGGACCAGACAATCCGGTGATCAACAACATGAGCAACATCACAACTGCGATACGATGACATGTGTCAACCAAGTCAGCGAACCTGACCACCCGATCTCGTTAGTCGCCTCTTACGACAAGCATGGTGATGAGCATCTTGAGTCCTGAATGGAAATAAATCCACAAGAACCGATGATAAAATGACGAGACCATATCAGAGAAACTGTATATTTATATTTTGAAATGAGTTTTGACAGTAACATAAATATGGAGGGTATTTTTAAGTTTATACTTTGATGCGTCAATTTCAAGCATCAGATGGTAGGATCATATTACTTATTAATTGGAGAAAGGTGCGGTGATAAAAACTACACTCACATAGTGAGTGACCTTTTCGCCGCTTTTAGCAATATTCCAGCACTATCACTGTGGTGGACAACAGAAAAAAGCTTAGTCCCCATATAGGCCGAGGGAATCGAACCCCCGTCTTCGGTGTGACGAGCGAACGCTTAAACAACTAGGCTACCCCACCGCCCCACTTCACTAAGTAATATGACGACATATTCCTTCACAATTACGACCAACTACACTACTATGTCCGTGGCATAATAATGCCATAAAATACATTTAGAGAACATTCTGGAGTTTTGTTTTACGTCGCTTTTAGCAATATTGCAGCAATATGACGGCGGGGGACACCAGAAATGGGCTTCACACATTGTGCCCATGTGGGGATTCGAACCCGGGTCTTTAGCGTGACGAACGAAAGCTTTAACCACTAGGCTACCCCACCGCCCCGAACATTCTGGATATTGCGGATATCTGATATTTACAAACCTAGCTGCTGACGGGAAGAACACGAAGGTAAGAAAACAAGTTTAAGTTCGCTTCACTTATAAACTGATTTTCATTTTTGAGTAGACGTTGGTTTGGGGTACGGACAGGGTTAATATCTGATCGGCATTTTTCCACATAGCCACAGGTAATGTTCGTTCACTTCCATCTTGACGCCATCAATTTCACCAAGTACCACCACTACCTCCTAAAATAAAGTCCTGAACCCCAACATAACAGGCCAGCAGAAAATCATTTCACCTCCATTGACATGACTTTTAGTTTGGGAAAGACATTTCCGTTCCCCTTCAAGTGAAAATCCGAAAGTTCTGTGCCTCTGTCTCTCATAATACGAATGCTATCCGTTTACCTGTTTGCCATCGATCACTTATTGTGAAACTACTGTTCCGAACTGTGCTTAGGAAAGGTAATACACTTCAGATGTAATGACATCAAGTTCCGTTTGGGAAACCTATGTCAATTGCAATGCAATTTCAAAAGCATGCTCTAGCTACATAAGTTCCTTCACTCTTAGGAAACATGTCTAATGAAGCCTGAACATACCTTAACTCCCTACTAAGTCTCGCATCTTAACCCTCCGTCAAGTCAAGCACTTTAACCCTCCATTAAGTCACCCACCGTAACCCTCCATTAAGTCACGCACTTTAACCCTCTATTAAGTCACGCACTTTAACTCTCTATTACCTCACGCACCTTAACCCTCCATTAAGTTATGTATCCTAACCCTCTATTAAGTCATGCACTTAACCCTCCATTAAGTCACGCACTCTAACCCTCCATTAAGTCACGTACCTTAACCCTTCATTAAGTCACGCACCTTAACCCACCATAAAGTCACACACTTTAACCCTCCATTAAGTCACGTACCGTAATCCCCCATTAAGTCACGCATCTTAACCCTCTATTAAGTCACGCACTTTTACCCTCCATTAAGTCACGTACCTTAACCCTTCATTAAGTCACGCACCTTAACCCTCTATTAAGTCACGCACTTTAACCCTCCATTTAGTCACGTACCTTAACCCTCCATTAAGTCACGTACCTTAACCCTCCATTAAGTCACGTACTTTAACCCTCCATTAAGTCATGTATCCTAACCCTCTATTAAGTCACGCACCTTAGCCCTCCATTCACAGCAAATACTTGCTTGATTTATTTTAGCTGACAAACTTTGCAAGCTCATACGAACACGGGCGATATCACAGTACAAGTAGTGGGGCGATGTTAGGTAAATTGAGGATTAACGTTGAGGTTAAGACTATTGCACATGTCTAGTGACGTGCATCCGCGTGCACCTCATATGTATGCGGCTGCTTCTGCTAGTCACAATGTACTCGGTTATACAGAGCATGCCCAACGCTATACCACAGTTTTAACAAGAATGACCCGTACGACCAAAATAATGACTCCGTGTAGGAGAGTCCTTGTTGTAGCGTTTAATGATGAGCACCAGGCAGTGTAACAAGTGGCACCTGTATGGCGTTTAGTGCGACGTGGCAGCTAGATCAGGACATTGCTAACGGAAGGAAAAGCTTGGCAGCTCCACGAACAAACGACCTTATCTAATCTATGCATCGTGTTTCTTGCTTACAGGGGCCCAATGTACTGCTTCTCCCGGGGGTGTATAATGCTGTTAAGATGGCCCTGGGTTAGATCCAAGTTTCCAAGACCTTCCGATGTTCAACCCTAAGAATGATACCATTGCACTCCTTCAGTTATCAAAAGCCACTTGAAATGTAACGTTACATCGGCATGGTTTCAGCCGCATAGCGACTATCAAGAGCATATTGATAATTTTTCATTCCTTCCTGTGACTACAGACATTCAGTAACCATTCCATCTTAATCATATATATATATATATATATATACATACATACATTCACAACAAACGTAACTTAAGGGGAGGTAAGTAATTATCCTGATCCACACTGGTGTTACGTAAAATTAACATTGGAAACATGTCACATGCTTCTATGAAAAGACCGCTATGAGCTGTGGCACTTTTAAGTTATTTGAATCCCTTGACGGTTTAATATGCTGCTTGAAAAGAGAACATTGTGACAATTGCGCCCGGTGGTTAAATCTAGCAACCTTGCATTACATAAACATAAGTGTTACCTGTCAGTTGTTGGATGAGGTGCCTCGTCCACGTATTGCCCGAGCCAGGGTAACTAACCAGCGCAATATTAGGTAAGACTTTGGAAGATAGTCTTACACTTGGACAGTTTGGCGCTGAACCGTTCCGACTGAAGGCAAGAGATCGGACTGAAGACGGAATTGATTTTGGTAGACCTTCCGTTGCAGTCAACAAAAAGTCCACAGCAAATATTGTCATTAATGCAAGTAATACAAACTTGAAATTCCTTTTCAAAGATGTCTTCCTGAACATATTGCCATTGATTAGGAGAGTCCTGAAAAGAAAATATCCAGGAATTTGTAATCCTTCGGCGGAAAGAAAGAAATTTGAAAAGTTGACCGAGAAGAGACTTTCACGAAAGTATTAACCAAGCGAACCTAAACAGAACTCGCAACCATCAGACTCTGTTCCGTCCTTCTGTATGCCGCTTATCAGTGATTTAGACTTGATAATATATCTTGCCAATGCAAGCTGTTGCGATGTCAATCGATCCATGGACTCATTGTCAGCTATGTTGAACCAACACAAAGGGAAAACCAGGATATAGAAAGGTAAAAAACTTTTTAAAATCTAGCAACAGTTATCTTCACAATGGCACTCTTATCTTTGAACAAGTCCTTATTGTGAATGTTGTATCAGTACTATCACCCTCAAACAATTTTTTACTGATGAAAAACAAACCAATCTTGAGCCAACTATTGTGAAGGTCTACTGAAAAAGCAATAGATCAGTGATGCTGAAGTTCTACAAATCTGTTTCCACCTGTGGTAACTGCTCAAATTGTTTGGTTTTTAAATCCGATTTTATAGCTGCTCAGTGTAAAGTCTATTGATCATTACTCTTGACATATTTTGTTGAAATTGTAATGCAATTGGAATACGTGTAGCTTGTATTGGGGATCAGCATTAGTTGGTTGGCCGCTCTCAGAAATATTCCAGCTATATGGCAGCGGTTTGTAAATAATTGAATATGGACCAGACAATCCAGTGAACATCGATCTACGCAATTGGGAACCGATGACATGTGTCAACCAAGTCAGCGGGTCTGACCACCCGATCCTGTTGGTCGCCTCTTACGAGAACCATGGCTCAGCATTATATATTGTAGTCACATTCCACGTTTTAAAAGCATATTTCGACCATACCTCGGCTAAATTTGACAAATATGTAAAGACATTTGGTATAATGTGTTTCTTTTATTTTGGTATGTAACAGTACGGCACAGATATTTTCCAAAAATGGAGAGAAAAGATATAATCAAGGTTGTACTATTGATATTATTCTGAAGCAGTTGAAAATTGATACGTTTACTGCTTTCTGACAATAGCATTGGAATGTTAGCATCGTTTAAAATATTGTATTATCAAATGACTACAGACAACACAAGCAAGACTATTGCTAAATGTAATGACCGCGAAGGACACAGACTGAAATTGCCCTTGTGGGTTTTGTTTTTATAGTGTTAATATCGACAATTATTAATGTTGTGTGTACAATCGATGGTTCATCTCCTGTTTGTGGCAGATATAATGACAGAGTCAACGTATTGAGTACAACGTACAAGAACCATTAGGGCTGCACAAAGTAAGAACAATAAGTATACTCTCAGTCATTAAAAGAAACTAGATGACCCATCAACCACTTTTGCTGATTAATGGATCTACAGACGACAACAGCCCACAGTATCGACTAAAGAGTGTAGTTCTTGATATTGCCTCGATAGGTATGGCCAAATCAGAAACACTCTGCTGCATCCAGACTCTATAGTTTACAGATCGCGTCGTACAGATATAATACTGCGGAAGGCGGCGTCAAACAAACACATACTCATGATATAGTAATTGTACAATTCGCTTGACGTTTCTACTGAATACTACTGATATCCTTTACAGTACCTCACCAGGCTGACTTGTTCCGTCTATCTCTGAACTGATGATGAAAGGTTTTTCTCAAATTTTGAAAAGATGTCTAACAATTTCAAAAGGGCTGAAAGTCAGTGGACCAAGTTGTTGCAAAATGTGTTCAGGGGAAAACCCCAGGACGTTTATTCAGCCTTACCTGTTGAAAAGAGGTCTGATCACCAAGGAGGCTGCTGTTTAGAGGGCTTATGAATTGGTTTCTGAAGCCTACAGGCCCAAGTTTAGGTCTGCTATGAAAGGGGATGGTACTACTTTTGTTCGCAAGGGAGAAGGAAATTTTGTTTGATGGGTGGTGTACTTCAAAATAGATCAGAAAACAGTTGTAGAAACTCTCCTTCTCAGATGTGTGGACTTGCGTATTGGGAATGATTTGGCAGGTATCAAATGTTTGGTTTATTTTACTTGTCATGAGCCTAGCACTTCACAAAGTACTTGAAATCTTGAAAAAGAAACTCCAGGTCTTTTTCCTTCCTGTCCTGTTACTCTTGCTAAGGCTAGGCAAATTTCTTCTGAGAATGATTCCAGTTACGATATGCCTGGCACTTGTATGGCTCATATTCTTGACGTGTGTAATTTTTCGAGGAAGAGAACGCAAACGTCTGGCAATTTGGCTGTTGAGGAACCAGTATTGGGAGGGGAGCGGTTGGCTAAATTATAGGGAGAAGACCCAGAATTCAAAATTCTTGCCATTAGGGCACGCACTTTAGAAGACGCTAACATGGTTCCAGTTTGCCATTATTTCAAGGGCAACATTTGATCAGGACATGGAGGCCACCATGATGATGAATGGAGGGTTTTTCATCAGATTGTTCTTCCAAGTTCCTATTGAAAACCTGTTTTAAGGTTAGCACTTGGAACTCATTTGGGCGCAAAAAACCCTTCAGGTTACGTTGAGGGCTTAACATCCTGCATAAGCAAGGTTAAGGATTTACAGTTTCTAGACTGGGAAGGATAAGGATGAAGATATTCATTTGTGTGTGAGGGATTCAGTTTTGGAGTCCTTAGGTTTCAGACCTTTTGATCATCTCTTTGGCCATATTGTTCGTGGACTTAAAGCGTTTAAAGGAAAAATAGCTGAATGATAGGTCTAAAATGTGTTTGTTAGACTATGTTTCATCGTTTCTTTGGAAGCTTGTGAAGTTGTCAGGGATGATTTTAAAGAATCGCATTTAAAGAAGAAAATACATTATGACAAGGAACCTCGAGAGAAATGCAAATCCAAGTGTTTTGCCAGTGCGATCTGAGCAAACACCTCAAGTATCTCAGTGCATTCAAGAGTTTGTTCACCTTTTTCTAGATTTGCCTGGTCGTAAGGTTTTAGTGTGTCATGATATAGGTGATGCTGTGCCTCTGAAACACCGTCCCTACCAGATGTATCCAATGAAGCTGGAAACCTTGGTGAAGGAAATTCAGTACATGACATTTGTGAACCAATATGAAATGAGTGGAGTTCACCTGGTGTTCACGACTCTTACCTTTTTACCAAGAATCAATCCAAGTTCGTCAACAAGGTATACCTGAGAAAGAAGCTTTAATGCTTATTTATACCTCAATGCAATTTATAATACCTCAGTTTAAGAAAACACAACGTTTATGAAATTGAACAAATGAGGGGTTCTTTCCCAATTTGCCTGTCAAGTTCACTGTGTATAGAAGGTCCTAAATAGTTAAACTCATAAAGAAATGACAAACACTGACATTTGTATTGAGCAAAATTATTTATCATAACAGACTGGGGCTGAAAGTGTGGCCTTTACCCTTTAAACTACCTGTGAAGCCATGGGTCTTCAGCAATCAGTTTTCGGCTTTTCGTTGGAAAAGAATATACTTGTCATAAGAGGTAAATAACAGAACCAGGTGGTCAGACTCACTGACAACTTGTTTAACGCAGTAATTATGTTATGATTAACGTTATGAGAAACGTTACTCTAGGCTACACACATCAAGTTTCTATACAAACCATTTTCAGTGAACTCAACTTCTATTGACATGTAGTTCCTTAATTATGAGATTCTTAAAACATATTAATTTCACAGTGTAACACACTTGTAATTTACAAGCCAACAGCATTTCCAATTTTGACATTGATTTTGGTAGGTGTAAAACCACATTGATTTACTTACACATTTCACAATCAATTTAATGTAACCGAAGTGCCTTGAGTGTTTGTGGCCGGGTTATGGAAATCGCAATAAAGATGTCACCTGTGAATGTTTCATTATCAGATGTTCTGCCGTAGGAACTGGAATATGTGTAACACCTTGCAGACTATTATGTAATGTTTAGTTATTATCTATGGTAATACCAGTAGTCCATTTAGTTTTCATGGTTCACATAAAACGCAAATATTATGGATGACAACTTCTTCTATATTGTATGTCACAACGTTTCTGGGCTATTCCTTGCCCCTTCGTCAGGTGAATTGAAACCAACAAGATACATCAATGGGTATATATACTAAATGTACAAGAAGCCAGTGTTGCATGTATATACAATAAATTGGATAAGAAACAGGAAATGAAAGAGTGAGATGTACAGATAATGGGCATTGTTTATACAAGAGAAGAGGTTTTTCAAGTGATTAGCAGACGTGGTAATGAGCTAATTGACTTCCCCCGCACTTTGGAGGTACACTCCTTGATCCCTGTTCAGCTGCGGTTGTAATTGTCTTATGGTTAAAGACTCTAATAGTTTGCGCTTGTGCCAATCATGGACTTTAGTGGTCAATATGGTTGATTGTTGCCAGTCAATGGAGTGAGTAGGGTTTTTGACGATGTGCTCTGAGAGAGCTGATTTTTGGTCCATTTTTGTACAGATGTTTTGTGCTCTTTGAGTTGTATGTCAAATGGGCGGGATGTTTCACCTATGTATGTGGAGCCAGAATCACAGTTCAATTTATATATGCATCCCCTGGGTCTATTTGGGGTCTTAGTGGAGGAAAGTAACATATGTTATATTTGGGATTACACTTTCTTAGTAAAGTACAAATTCAGGATCTAAGATGGTGAAAGTATCATCAACCTTTCTGAACCAACAGAGTGGTTGGAAAGGGGATGTGGATAGGGCGGACTCTTCGAAGCTGGTCATAAACATCTCGGTTATCAGTGGTGAAAGAGGGGAACCCATGGGGAGACCGTAGATCTGCTGGTAAACGCTGTCTTGCCAAGTAAAATAGGAGGTGTGAAAGCAGCTTGAGGCTACATTCACAATACTGTCTACAGTCAGTGTAGTGTCCAGGGTATTGATGCCGGAGACTAATTTGGCACGGAAGACGTCAAGGGCTTCGTCTAGTGGAATATTTGTGAACAAGTCCACAACATCATAGCTGACCATACTACCGGATACGTTAGAGTCCAAACGTTTTTTGACAAATGTAGCAGAGTCGCCGATGAATGACTTGCCTTCTTTACCTAAAAGTAAAAGTAGTTTCGAGAGGAACTGAGCAGTATTGTAGTATACTGAGCCACGAGAACATACAAGAATTCTAAGTTTA